GGGTGCAAATGGGATAGGAAGGGGACAGGACCCTCCAGTGGAGCTGGTGCTAATGAGGCTGCCATGACCTCATGTCCCCAAGAGCAGAGAGAGGTCTGCTGGTCCCTCTGCTCCAAACCAGCCACGCCTGTTTGCTTTTGAATAATGAGGCAGCAGGAGAAATGAGAGCAGCTTCTTGCTCTGAATTCAAATCTCCACTGGCCCCACGGTGTGTTCCACAAGGACAATGTCACATGGTGACATGAACACTTTCTAGGAGAAATCTGGGAATGGCTTTAAAGCTTCTGCAGAGAACTGGGACACAGCTCCCCTGGCCTTGGGCTACGCAAAAAATGTTTCTGCCTTTCTTCTCAGCCCGTAACAGGAGGATAACAGGCTCTTCCCAAGGACTTTGTAGAGAGCAACTGAGAGCCACTGCATGGTCTCTCCTGTAGAAGGGAGAATTCCTGCTCTCATAGGAAAACATCCTGAGGACACTAGGTATTTTTGCAACACACCCCAGTGCTCCCCATTGCACTGCAGAGGTGCAATGTAACCAACAGCAGAGGAGCCCACCTGTAAAAAACAGTAGCCAGGGCTTTAGCCACGGAGAAGGGATCTTTCTTCTGCAGAGGAGCTGCCTCCACCCACTTGGTGAAGTAGTCAGTCACAAGCAGGACGTGTGTGTTGCTCTGGCTTGTCTCGGGAAAAGGCCCTGCATAAACAGCCAACAAAATAAAAATCTATGTCATTGATGGGCAAAGTAAAAAACCCAGTCGCTGCAGAAGTGACCACGACTCTTTCCTGCAATGTCATTTGGCCAGAACATTTTCGGTGACCTTGGTCAGCAAAAATACACCCATGGGAGCTTCAGTTCTGGCGAAGAAGGCCCGCCCACAGCTCTCACCGTGTGTGCAGAGGGAGCCGAGCCAAGCCCAGGGATCAGGTTGCAGCCTGGGCTGCTGCTGTGGCTTCCTTGGCACCTCCTGAGAGGCAGCGGCAGCTTTCCCTCGGTGCGTGTGGCAGCAGGTCTGCCACGCTCCCGGCTGGAAGGGAGGAGCCCTGAGAGCCACTTGAGACACTCACTCACCGTGGATGTCTAATCCCAGCACTTCCCACGGGGATTCCACCCTGACGGGCTTGGCCTTCCGCGTCACGCTCTTGTTGTGCTCCGCGTTCTGGCACGTTTCACACATCTTGATCTGGAGAGGGAAAAGAGGGATCAAAGGACTTGGGAATGTGCTGATGGATCCTGTCAGACTCAGACTGCACACTGAGACACACAGCAGGGCTGAGCACTTTCCTTTCTCCCGATAAAATAATGAGGCACAGGAAAAAAAGAGGGCAAAACACAACAGGCTGACGCATCTCACCTTTCACAAGGCTCACCTGACAGCTTTCTCTGACACAATAACCAAATTTCTCAATGTGGCCTACAGCTAAGTTATTTCTCACCCTGTTTCCAGGCAAATTTTTATTGTATTTTGACCTCCTACTGCTGGTTAGAGAAATCCTCAGCCCTAGGATGCTGGAGGAGCTTGGACCATGCAATACAAGCACACTCCTTAAACCACAGTGCTGCAGAGTCCTGCTGCAGGGAACTGCCAGCAATGAAACAGGAGAGGCAAAGTGGCTGAGCAGACACCAAGATCCTCCTCTTGCCATAGTTTAGGGAATTGGGCAGCTCTGGAAAGAATCCAAACTGCCCAAAGCTAGACTCAGCAACTTGTCAGAAACAATCCCACATCGCCATGCTGACCAAAACTGCTCCGCACGAGGAGGCTGAGGAGGCTCAGGGGAAGACATGCAGCCTACCCAGCTGCCTCGGGACGTTCCAGGATCCACCTGCAGAATAACTCGGTGTGCGGCTTCCCAGCACATGCACAGGCAATGACATCATCCCTGCACCAGCGCTCCTGTGGCTGCTGCCTCGGGACTGCTGCCAGCACCGGTGTCACCGACACGGTCACTGCCTCCACTTACCCAGTCCACAACATCCTTCACGATGCCCAGCCAGTAGTACCGGCTCTGGATGCGGTGCACGGTCTTCTTCTGGCCCAGGTGGTTCCCGATTTCGGTGAAATGGCTTTCCAGGAAGACCTGACGCCTCCGCTCGGGATCCACGATCACCTCGCGCTTCTCCTCCTTCTTGGGTCCCACGTAGTAGAGGCAGCCGCCTGCGGATGCCAGAGGTTTGTCTGCAACGCCCTCCCACACTCGCCTCCAGAAAAGGGTCATTTTCCACACTGGGAAACCCAGCTGAGACACAGCTCCGGGGGCTGCGCTGCCCCCGGAGAAGCTGCTAAACTGGAATCACGCCTACGCACGCCCACGGAGCTTTTCTGCACCCAGGACTGTGTGAAATCCTCCGCTACAACAAAGCCGCCGTGGTCCCCACGGGGCAGCCGGGCAGCGGCCGTGCCGGCCCGGGCGGACCCGGCCCCGCTCGGTGCCCCGGGGCGGGGCCGGGGCACGGCGCTGCCCGAGCCGCGTCCCCTCCCCGCGCCGGGGCTCCGCACATCCCCCCGTGTGTGCGGGACCGGCTTCCCCCGCGGGCTGCCCCCGGGGCGAGCCGCGGCCCGGGGCAGCCCGACCCCGCCGCGCTGCCCCGGTCCCCACCGTCCACGACGAACTTCTGGGCGTAGCGCTTGAGGTTCTTCCTCTTGATGGAGCAGAAGCTGGGCGGGAAGCAGCCCTCGGCCAGCAGCCGGTAGATGTCCTCGAACTTGCTGCCGTGGCCGCAGGGCTCGGCCGCCACCACCACCTCCCGCTCGGCCTCGGGCAGCGCCGCGTCCATGGCCGGGCCGGGCCGGGCCGGGCCGGGCCGGGGCCGCGCGCCCCCGCCGCCCGTGCGCGCCCCCGCCGGCGCGGCTCAGGGAGCGTCTGCAAAGAGCCCGCGGCGGCCGCTGCCGCTCCCGGCGGAGCCGGCCCGGCAGAGAGCCCTGCGGGGCAGCGGCCGCGGGGCCGCGCCGCGGTGGCGTCACGGAGGCGACAGAAACGACGAGCGTCAAACCGGGCGGAACGGGCGAGTCCCGCCGCTCTCCGCTTCGCCCCGGTTGGGAATTTGCCGACGCGCCCTCCCGCGGACGGAAGCGGAGCGCTTTGAGGGCCGGACCGAGACGCGTCCGCCGGCAGGAAACATGTCGGCGGGCCGGCCGTTCCGCGGGTGCGCCTGCTTCTTCACCGACAACATCTTCGTGCGGCGGTTCGGGCTGCACGTGCGGTACCGGGACGGGCCGCAGCTCCGCCGGGACCACGGCCGGGTAGCGCGGGGCCGGGCGGGGCCGGGCGGCGGGCCGTGCCCGCGGCCGCGGCGCTGACGGGCCCGTGTGTTGCAGGCGCTGCGGGAGCGCGGCTGCCGCAGCGAGGAGCAGCTCCGGGAGGTGCTGAGGGAGGTGAGCGGGGCAGCCCCACGGCCACCGCCCGGGGGGGCTCGGAGGGACGTAACACTCATCCCGGCGTGGCAGGGACACCGCCCGCTGCTCCAAGCCCCGGTGTCCTGCCAGGGATCCAGGGGCAGCCAAGCCACGGCTGCTCTGGGCACCCCGTGCCAGGGCTCGCCTCCCTCACAGGGAGGATTTTTTCCCCCAGAATACCATCTTCCCCTGCCCTCTGTCAGTGCGAAGCCATTCCCTGTGTCCTGTCGCTCCAGCCCTTGGGAATTGTCTCTCTCCCATCGTTTTTTGTCGGTCCCTGCGAGGCCACACGGAGGTCACCCCAAAGCTTCTCCTGTCCAGCAGGACTCCTCCAGCTGTGCCAGCAGCGCTGCTCCATCCCTCTGCCCACCCCTCTGCCCACCCCTCTGCCCCGGGGCTCTCTGCAGCAGCCCCGGTCCCGAGGATCCCCGGCCCCCCGGCCCCCGAGGGAATTTGGGACTCCCCGGAGCCCCCCGGAGCCGGGGCGGAGCTCCCGGCACCGCGTCCCGACCCAGTCCCGAGGGAAGAACTCCCCATCAGCGAGGAGTTTATTCGGCCAACACCCTGCGATTAAATCCTGTCATTCAACACCTCCCAGCGGCCGCAGAGCCGCTCCCTCCTTGGGTTTACTCCGCTGGCTCCCAGTGCCCTGGTTTGTCTTTTCCTGTCCCTTCTTGCGCCAATCATTTGTAAAGGCAGCCCCGAGATGGAACCTGCAGAAATTCACCCTTTCTCACGGAATCTCTGCCTCTTTCCAAGCCAGGGACAGGGACCAGTCACTCACCAGCTCCAATGTCACCTGACACTAAGGGGACAGACAGGTTCTTTTAGGAATTCTTGGCAGAATTATGGTGGCTGTAAATCATGCTGTTAATTAAAGCTTTATTAACTGGGCATTATGATTCATACTCAGAGAATTTATGAGTAGAACAGCATAGGATTTCCCCAGGCAGAATCAATGGAGCACAACGAGCAATGTCATACAGAATTTATAAAACAAGATCCTAACTTTGGCTGTAATTTATAATCACCTCGGTCCTAAGCACTTTTAAATCACCTGGGCTCTCTGCAGATCTGCACACAAGGTTTGCTGTAATAATATAAACATCATAAAGGAGACTTAATTACATAAACAAATGTAATTTTAATAATAATAATGAGTGACCCAGTGCTGGCAGGAAGCAGGTGACAGTGGCTGTCCCTGGCTGGGGGAGGGCACAGCTCTCCCTGTCCAGCAGCAATTCCAGACCAAATTTCCCACTTAGAACTCGATATTGGCTTTTTAGGCAGTGCTGGGTTACAGATCCCTGCCCAGGGACCTTGGGGCTGGGAGGGAGAAGAAGAGGAAGGAAGCTGAGAAATCTGTTTGATTTGCCTGCTTGGTTCCCAAGACCTTCAGGGCCTGACACTGAGGGAAAGGGAATGAGCACAGGAGCTGCTTGGTCCAGGGAATGGCTGCTCACTCACCCCTCAGTGAGGACTGCTACAAATGAATCTCAGGAGGGGGAAATCAACGGGAGGAGCTGCCTGGATCAGCTGTTTGCTCTGAAAGGGCAGTTTAGCCTGTCTCCACCACACTAAGCAGTAATCCCTTCATGACAAGACTTGTCTCACTCCCACCAGGTGTCTTTGTTTTGGACAATGCCTCTATTGTCAGAACAAAAACCAGATTCAGGAGGTGTCAGGATGCCTCCCAGCTCCTCTTGACACTTCCACAGAAAAGTCCTCGGTCACTTTTTAAGCCAGGTGTAAAGGGAACATCAACTCCTCTCAGGCTTTTGGCTTTCCAGATATTTGCTGGACTTGTCTTGACCACACACTCTGTCTCCCGGAGTTGCCCCCAAACAAAAATGACTGCTTCAAAGCAATGAGCAGATTCCTGGAGCTGTTTCACTCAGCCCTGCTGATTTCTGACAGTGTGCTCTCTTGTTTACCTGCAGGTTGAGGCAGAAGTGCAGAGAAGGAAACAGCTAACCCATCAGTCAGTGGAACGCAGAGCAATCATCTCCAAGTGCTACAAACCAAAACACCCAGAGGTGTACACTCTGCAGGTACACAGAAGGTTTGGAATTTCTTGCACCCAGAAAAAAATCACCTGAGATTTTTATTTTGTCAGTTTATTTTCCCCTCTCCTCAGGATTGCACAGTGCTGAAGCTGCACTGAATTAAAACACGGGTGTAGCATGTGAAAACTGGATTTAAAACTTTAAAAACACAACAGCACAGTGTGCTCTCCAGGCAGGATTCCTGGTGTTCCAGCCAGGAAAGGCTTTTTCCTGCCATGTCTGTGATAATTCTGGCCAGTTACTCCTAAAAACATCCATGAACTAAAGCAAGCAGCAACTCCCCTGCCCCACCAGGTAAAGCACCAGTGCATTCTGCATTTCCTGCCGTGGAATTACCCGAGTGTGACTCAGCCTTGCTCCCTAGGGCCTGGGTATTTCCCTGGGAGTCCATTTCCCTCTCGGGCTGTGCAGGCTGATTGTGTTTCTGTGTGCTTTTCCCATCCCTCCCTTGACACCAGGATTCCTTCCTGGCCCCAGAATTTCTAGAAATCGAGAGGTTCTGCACATCTCCAGCTGCTGATCTCCAAGGCCTCCTGAGCTACCTCGAGTCCTTCTCAGGTAAAGAAAACAGCACCTCAGGCACACAGATCTCCCTGGTGACAGCTGTTCCCAAGGCCTGTGTGGAGCAGCTCTGCTGTGACAGAAGCTGAGGCACTCGGGATGTTACTCCTGCCTCAGGAGGGTCTCTGGAGAGGCAGCAGTTCTGCTCTGGATCAGAGGCTGCTTTCTGCTTTCCCATCCCAGCCTGCTGATGTCCCACCAGAGGCTCCAGCTGCAGCAGGGCTGGGATTTTGGTGGTACCACACCTCACCAGGGATCCTGCTAAGGGAGCACTGGGAGCCCAGGGAGCTTGGTTTTCCCTCCCCAGGTGCTTTCCCATTGCAGACAGTTCCTGTGGGTTAGTCTGGGCTGAAACAGCTTCAGTCTAGTTTCAGTCTTTGAAAGAGAGAGCTGGGCTTTCAGCTTCCCTGGAGGCAGCCGTGGAGCTCCCTGCCTGCCAGAAAAGCTGCCAAGATGCAGAGGGGAAGAGGCAGAGCTGCCTCCTTTCCGCAAGGCAAAGGACAGCAATGTCTGTGTGCAGAGCTCCTGGATTTATCCAGGACACCAGTTCCAGACACAGCCTTCTGCTCTGGCAATGGGGGACCAGCATGAGAAACAACAAACACAGCCCAGGGCTGATCCAGGAAATGGTCCCAGCACAGAGTGGAGCCTGTGGGAGAGCACAGCTGTGCTCTCCCTGCCACCAGCACAGTGCACTGGACAGGCAGGCAGGAGCACTGGGAATCTCCCCAGCAAACCCTGTCCCCCCTGTCCCCACAGACAAGAGGATCTATCGGCTCCCAGTGTTCACAGAGCAGTTCTGCCAGGCCCTGGTGGATGAGCTGGAGAACTTTGAGCAGTCGGATATGCCCAAAGGCAGGCCCAACACCATGAACAACTATGGGGTAGGACTCATCCTTGTGCTTCCTTAGGGGCAGCGTTCACTGTGCTCACCTCCTCACTTCCCTCCAGTCCAAGGGGGCTCTCATTTCACACTTGAGCTCACAGAGCTGAGGGAATGTTACAGGGACAGAAGAAAATGGGAATGCAGGGGAAGGGGAGGGAGTTGATAGCTCGGAGCAAAGAGCACCTTCTCCTCCAAATTTAAATCAGAGACGGTTCTTAAAGAGCACTCACCCTTTGATCTTACTACTCTGTGTTTCCCCCCATCCCTCTCCACCTTGATCCTCCTTCCTTTTCCCTGTAGCTGGAGCCTTTGCTCCAAAGTGACTTGAGCCAGCAGCAGGGCTGGGGAGGACAGAGCAGACGAGGCTGCTGAGCTGCTCCCCCCTGCTGTCCTCGGCACAGGTTCTGCTGAACGAGCTGGGCATGGACGAGCCTTTCCTGACGCCGCTGCGGGAGCGGCTCCGGCCCATCACGGCCCTGCTGTACCCGGAGCTGGGCGGGGCCTGCCTGGACAGCCACAAAGCCTTCGTGGTCAAGTACTCCCTGCACGAGGACCTGGACCTGAGCTCGCACTACGACAACGCTGAAGTCACCTTGAACGTTTCCCTGGGAAAAGAATTCACAGAAGGAAACTTGTACTTTGGGGATTTCAACCAGGTACTGAACACGTCCCACTCACCTCTCACCCCTCAGCTTCAAGGCATCCACTGTGCTCTGCAAAGCAGTTCTTCACTTCTGGCAGTCAAACCTGCTCTGTCCTTCCCCATGTTTTTTCATGGCTTGGTTATACAGGAGCCTCTTTTGTTGCAGTATTCCCATATCCAATACCTATATTCATTATTTTAAAGAGAGGACAGACACGGCTTCACAGTAGAAACTGGAGTGAAACAAACCATCCCCCCTTTCTGCATGTGACACTGTGAGCAGGGTGGTGCTGAGGGAGAGATTTATTTCAGATGTGACTTCAACCTAAATCTCCAGCACCTGTTTTTAGGGCAAGAGAGGGGCAGAAGCTCCCATGCAGCAGTGAAACATGAGGCTTTTTTGCTTGAATCTCTCTAAATTCCCTCTGACCTTGGCACTGGGAATGAGGGTTTGCGCTGTGGGGTAAGGGGTGACAAATGTAAACCATCTGAGGGATTCAGTGGTGTGACAGCAAATCCCCCTGCCTTTGTTCCAGGATCCCAGCCCCATGCCCAAGTACATCGAGGTGGAGCACGTGGTGGGCCGGGGGCTGCTGCACCGGGGGGGGCAGATCCACGGGGCCCTGCCCATCGGCTCGGGGCAGCGCTGGAACCTCATCGTGTGGATGAGATGCTCGGCAGTGCGGAACCAGCTGTGCCCCATGTGCCACAGGAAACCCCAGCTGGTGGAGGCCGAGGGCTTCGGGGACGGCTTCACAGAGCCCCAAGTGCAGGAGGAGCTGCCCCAGCCCGTCAGTGCCTGTGCCCTGGGGTAGCAGGGGGGGATTTCCCCATGCTGAGCTGCCCAGAGCCCCTTTCTGACCTCCCAGGCTGCACGAGTCCTGCAAGGAGCAGCTCTAAAGCCAGCCCTGCCAGGATTCCAGCTGGAAGAGCTGGAACTCGGTTCCTGAGGGCTCAGGCTGGGGCTGGAGGACTCTGTAAGGCACAGAAACCCCAACTCTGATCCTCTGCAGGAGCTCTGTCGGCATTTCCATGTGCACAAGGAAAACACCCAAAGCGCCTTGGCCTCTCTGCCAACAGCAGCACCCCAGGTCCCACTGGAAATGGGGAAGAATGGTACAATAAACCATTTCTCTGCGTTCTTGGGGCCTCCTGTCCTCTGCCAGGGGAGGGGAGGAGCTTTGTGTTACTGAGTGGCCAGGAAGGACCAGCTCAGGAATGAGATCCAGGGGATTCATAGTGAGCTGCTGGGAATTACCATCACTGGATGTTTGTCTAACCCAGGCTCAGAAAAATCCACCAGGAGCAACGCTGAGTCCCCAGGGTAGCTGAGAGATCTCCCAAGGCTTCTTGGGAGCAGAAACTTCCCTTTCAAAGGTTTTGTGAACCTTATTAAGCTGAGTTACTATTTTGTGAACTTTATGCCGCTGAGTTCATGAGGGGTTTTCCATTGATGTGCTCAGTGCAGTAATTAGCGCACAAGGGCAGTCACGTCGGTAAGTGTGCAAGGCTGAACGTGAGCGGGCGAGCTCGCACAAAAGGCGTTTATTGCATTTTGGCCGGGGCTGCCATTCGCACAGGGCGCTGATGAGCTGCTCATTAGCAAAGCTCAGTGAAATTACACCGGGGGAAGGAAACCGGCGGTTGTATCTGAGCGAGGAGTTGCTACCAAAAACGCGGTCTCGAAGCCTTTACCTCATTCACTGGCGAACGTGAGCGCTCCCAAATCTGCTCGAATCCACCCCAAAAATTGAGCCGCGGCCCGGGCGAGGCGGTCCCCGGAACCAAAGATCGCGGCCCGGCTGCCGCCCGGCCCCGCGCGCGGCGGACGGGGGCGGGAGGCGGCCAGCGCGGCCCCGGCGGCGGGAGCCCCGCTCGGGGCGGCGGGACCCGGCCCGGTGAGTCCCCGCTCCCTCCCGCCCCCGGGCCTGCGGCGGGGCCGGCCCGGGCCGCCCGAGGACACCGGAGAAGGGCGGGCCGGGGGGGCGCAGGCCCGAGCGCGGCGGCGGCCGCGGGGCCGGGGGGCGCATAGAGAGCCGCGCTCTTAAAGGGGCCGCGCTCGGAGCCGCGCGCAGAACGCGCCCGCGGAGCTCTTAAAGGGACAGAGCACCTCGTGCCGAGCTCTTAAAGGGACAGAGCACCTCGTGCCGAGCTGTTAAAGGGACAGAGCACCTTTTGCCGAGCTCTTAAAGGGCCAGCGCACCTCGTGCCGAGCTCTTAAAGGGACAGAGCACCTGGTGCCGAGCTCTTAAAGGGACAGAGCACCTCGTGCCGAGCTCTTAAAGGGACAGAGCACCTCGTGCCGAGCTCTTAAAGGGCCAGCGCACCTCGTGCCGAGCTCTTAAAGGGACAGAGCACCTCGTGCCGAGCTCTTAAAGGAACAGAGCACCTTGTGCCGAGCTCTTAAAGGGCCAGCGCACCTCGTGCCGAGCTCTTAAAGGGCCAGCGCACCTTGTGCCGAGCTCTTAAAGGAACAGAGCACCTCGTGCCGAGCTCTTAAAGGGACAGAGCACCTCGTGCCGAGCTGTTAAAGGGACAGCGCACCTCGTGCCGAGCTCTTAAAGGGACAGCGCACCGCGTTCTGAGCTCTTAAAGGGACAGCGCACCTCGTGCCGAGCTGTTAAAGGGACAGCGCACCTCGTGCCGAGCTCTTAAAGGGACAGAGCACCTCGTTCTGAGCTCTTAAAGGGCCAGCGCACCTCGTGCCGAGCTCTTAAAGGGCCAGCGCACCTCGTGCCGAGCTCTTAAAGGGCCAGCGCACCTTGTGCCGAGCTCTTAAAGGGACAGCACACCGCGTTCTGAGCTCTTAAAGGGACAGCGCACCTCGTGCCGAGCTCTTAAAGGGCCAGCGCACCTCGTGCCGAGCTCTTAAAGGGACAGCGCACCGCGTTCTGAGCTCTTAAAGGGACAGAGCACCTCGTTCTGAGCTCTTAAAGGGCCAGCGCACCTTGCGTGCCGCAGGCTCCCCGTGCCGGGACGGCCCTGCAGCCCCAGGGCCCGGCCTGGCAGGGTGGCTGGGCAGGAGGAGTCGCTGGGGGCTCCGCCTGGTGCCAGGGCGGAGGCGAGAGCCCAGCACAGCCAGCCCGGGGTGCTGCTGGGGCGGATTTGGGATTCGTCGCTGGGACTCCACTGTCTGAGCCCAGCTCCGGTCATCGATCCTGCTGCTGGGGCTGTACAACAGTGGGGGTTTCCTGCTGCCACAGCCAGAACGGAAAGATCCAAGCCCCTGACGCTGTCCCCAGCAAGGCCCTGCTGCTAGGGGCGGCTGCTGGGTGTGTGTGCATGGAGGACTCATCCTCTCATCCTTCCCTCTAATGGTTGTGATTGGTTCTGGGGTTTGTTTTCTGATTGAAATTTCCCTATGGAAATCAATCAAAGGTCTGATTTGCTCGGGAGCAAATCCAAATTGCTGCCTGGGAATGCTGAGGTGGTAAACAAACAATTCATTAAATGTGGAGGTTGGAAGGTGGCTGTGAGAAAGCGTTTCCCAGCTCCTGCTCTGCCCACGGTGCCAGTTTGTTTTTTAAATTAATGAGAGTACGGCTCACACTGGCCTGGGGCCGCCGGCATCCCTGGGGCTGATGGACAGGGGTAGCAGCTCAGTGCATCATCTGTTTTCTAAGAGTGAATTGGAATATTAAAAATTCATTCTTCCCCTTGGCTTGTGCCTGCTCAGAGCATTTTAAGTACCGGGGCGATTGACTCGGGGAGGACGTTTTGTTCTGCTGGCCGTGGCTGCGGTGTCCATCCCCCCCTGCCTGTGCTGTCCATGCCCCTCTGCAGCAGGGCCAGCCCCATCCTCCAGGGACAGCAGGAGCGCAGGGAAAACCTGCAGGAAGGTGGACAAGCTGCCTGGGGACAGCTGTGTGGGGCAGCTGAGCGCTGTCCCTGTGCCAGCTCCCTGCCCAGGGCTCCCTGCTGGGGGCTGGACGGGCAGAGTGGGTGTGAGCAGGGAGGGGGTTTGACAGGAGCAGGATTGCCAGGGCTTTGGCTCAGACTGGAGTGAAGGATTTTGGGGCTGCTGGGCAGGGTTGGTGCCCTGACGTGCCCCTTTCCCCCAGGAGCTGCCATGGCCCACAGCCGCTCGCGGAAGCGGTCGCGGAGCAGGAGCCAGAGCGGTTCTCGGAGCAGGCAGGAGAGGAAGGAGAAGAAACGGAGGAAGAGCAGCAAGGACTCGCAGCAGGGCGGCAGCTCTCCGGTGAGGAAGAGGATCTCTGGCTCTCAGGGACACACCTCGAGCTCGGCAGCAGCCAGGGAAGGTGAGGAAGGCCCCTGAGCCTGTGCTCACACCACATTTCCCTGGGGCAGGTGCACAGAGAGGGCCCGGGGGGAGAAGAGGGTCCCTGGTTCTCGTTGGTGTCTGTCACCTCGTCCTGTGCCCACTTTGGTCTCGTTCTCACAAGTGCAGAGCCCTCAGCCCCTCCACGAGCTGAGCTGGCTGGGACCACAGAGCATCCTGGGTTAAATGTGGGCACAGAGGGGAATTCCAGGCTGGGAGGGAGATAAACCAACATCTCTGCTGCTGCAGGGCCAGGGCTGCTCCACTCACCCTCTTCTTGTGTATTGCAGAAAAGAAAAAGGAAGGAAAGGACAAGAAGAAGAGGAAGGCCAGCACCTCTTCCTCTGGGACATCTTCGTCCACCAGCTCCTCCTCATCTTCCTCTTCTTCCAGCTCCTCTTCTGATGACTCCAGTGACAGTGACTCCAAAGTGAAGAAGAGTCAAGACAGCAAAAAAAAGCAAGTGAAACAGAAAGATAAAAAGAAGAGGAAGAAGAAGAAGAAAAAAATCAAGAAGAAATCAAAAAAGAAGGCAAAGGAGAGGGCTAAAGAGGAGAAAGCCAAGGGAGAGGAGGTGCCTGGCCCCTCGCTGGAGCAGTGGCAGAAGGAATCAGTGGTGGACTCTGGGCCAGGTAATGAAGCTCTTTCCCTCCTGCTGGAGCCTGTGCACACAGGAGTTGTGCTGCTCCCTTTCCATGAGGGGTGTCTGAGGGAGGCAGGGCTGGGTACAGGGAGGAGCCCCTGGCTCCCCTCCCTTTGCCCACCTTTGAGCCACACTCAGAGTCTGATTTGTAAAGTGTTAGGATGTGGTTTATGGATGTGAGTGGGGAACAAAGAGGCCAAATGGAAGGACACAGCAGTAAATCCTGGCAAAGCTGGTCCTGGCTTTGGGATGTGAAACGTCCCTTTCTTTGTGAGGTTTGTCACCACACCCCGAGCGCTGCCGGGAGTCAGTGTGGGATGTTGTCTGTGGGCTGAAGCCCTGGTGCTGGGCCCCTCTCCTGACTGAGCACTGCACTCCAGTTCTGACAGATGAACAGAAATCCCGGATCCAGGCCATGAAGCCAATGACCAAGGAGGAGTGGGACGCGAGGCAGAGCGTCATAAGGAGAGTGGTGGATCCCGAAACGGGGAGAACCAGGTATGACCCTGGGGAAAAGGGAGATGGCTTCTCCATTCCCATCATGCTGAGTGGGCTGCAGGCCTGCAGGATGCCTGTCCATGGCACTGCAGCACCACAGCTGAACCAGCCTTCCTTCAGCAGCAAAGGCCTGAGCCGACCCCTCACAGGTCCCCCCTCGTCAGGCCTGGTGTGACTTACCCAGAAAGTGACACAATGACACCAAATCATCGAATTGTGCTGGGGCTCCACACAAGGGACACTGGGCTGTGTCCCAGTCTCCCACTGTTGCATCCAGTTACCTTCCAGCTCCAAAGCCCTGGGCCCTGGTTGACACCAGGTGGGAATGAGGAGCATGTGCTCTGTGGGGTTACAGACAGCGATCAAACCCAAGTTCATTTAGCTGCCAAACAGAAATGACCCAGTTTTTAATAAACTGCATCTTCTCAGCAAGCAGAAAACGTCATGCTGAAGAGAATTGGGTATGACAAGTCCAGTCTTAAAATAGAAGGCAGCCTGCAGGGCTCAGGGAGGTGTGGAACAAAGGTCGGTTCCCTGTAAGGCACGTAATGAAGACAATTAAATTTCTGTTCATGTCTAGAGGTGTGAGCCACCTCCAACACTGCATGGAATTTGCTCAGCAAGATATTCCCTGGCCTGGCTGCATTTCAGGCCCAAACTGGCTCCTGTTCCTGAATGGCTTTGCACTTTCCTGGGGCAGCCAGGACCACACCTGAATTCTATGAAAAGAAAAAAAAAAAAAGAGGTTTTGCATGGATTGAGGCACTGTGGATTGTAGGGTGACAGGGATGCTTTTATTAGGAGTGTTTTGCTGTGCCAGTGTGACTGACTGCACACAGCAGGCAGTGCCCACAGCCTGGGGCAGAGCCAGCTGGCCTCAGTTCTCAGGGGAACACTCCTGTCCTTGCTGCAGTGTGGTGACAATTATCCCACAGAAGCAATGGCAAAGCCTGCTGTGCCGTTTAAGCTTGACACAAAAACAAAGTCACAAAATACAATGTCAGGGGTGGGTCAGCACTGGCCTTGCCTGGAGGTACATCAGCCCAGCAGCTGCTCCTGGGTCTGGGGGAGCTGGGGCACAGCAGGTGCCCTCGGGGTGGGGGTCAGCACCTTTGCAGCTGCAGGAACCTGCCAGATCCCTCACTGGCTCCTGTGCTTGTCTTGCAGGCTCATTAAGGGGGACGGGGAAGTCCTGGAAGAAATCGTCAGCAAGGAGAGGCACAAGGAGATTAACAAGGTAGTGGGAACTGGCACGAGCTGCACGGGGTGGCTGGGCACAGCCAGGGAGCTGCTGCACCCAGAGAGGCTGGGCTTCCACCCTGGGGACAAGCTGAGCCCTGGCAGCACTGCCAGGGCCCCCGGGGCGGTGCTTGTGGTCCTGCAGCCCTGGGCAGGGAGTGCTGTGAGCGCCGTGTGTCCCTTGCAGCAAGCCACGCGTGGGGACGGGCTGGCATTCCAGGTGAGGACAGGGATGCTGCAGTGAGAGCAGGCAGCAGCCAGCCCAGGAGCCCGTCCTGCTGCCCCTGCCAGCCCGGGGGAGCCTCTGCCTCTGGACAGCACCGTGTCAAGATGTTCCCCAGGGGCCCTTTCCAGCTGCTCTGTAAGTTACTGACTGGGAAGGAGAGTGACTTCAGTGGCTCATCTCCCAGTAAACAGCTTCTCCCCTCCCTGTCCCAGCTCAGGCCAGTGTGGCTGTAATGTACGTGAGCCATTTGCCCCAATGCTCCTCTGGATACTGGAGGAGCTCAGCAGCACCCAGGGGACAGGCTCAAGGGTGCTGAGCACCTCAGGGTGCTCTGGGCTCTGGGGGGCAGGAGCCAACGCTGTGGCCAGGACAGGGTGTACCCAGGCCACAAACACGCAGCTGGCTGCCACTTCTTTCCTTCAGGGGCTGCCCATGGCCCTTTCCCTGCTGGATCTGGCTCACAGGCCCCTTGCACTCACTGGCCCTGCTCAGAGAGGAGTGGCTGTGACTCTGCTCAGGCTGCAGCTCCGCTGCACCCCTGAGTGCCACCCTCCACTGTGCCCCGGGGCTTCTCCAGCCTTTCTGCAGCCTCGGGTAGGGGAGCACTGACCTGGCACACGGCACTGGCATCTGTGCAGGTGTGCTTTGTGGAGAGGTGGCTTTGCCTTGCTCTCTGCTCCTGCATGCAACTTGTGTCCCTTCCCCACAGCGCAGCGCTGGGGCTCTGGGCTTCTCAGGGCCCAGGGCTGCCGTGAAGCAAACACAGCAGCCTTTTCCCTTGCTGGAAAGTCCATAAGTCTATAAACTGTAAAAAAGAAAAGGAGAAATGGGTTAAAGGACAAATGGGTCCTGCAGGACTGATCTCCACAGAGGGTTTCCTCATTCTGTTCATGGCTGTAACTCCATTAAACTGGCACCTGCTCACATTTGATGACTTGTCCATTTCTAGAGTATTCCCCCACCCCAAAAAAAAGCAGACGGGAGTAGAGCCTTCCCATTTCTTTAATCTGTGTAACTCACAATGGTACTGTACACAAAGCACACCAGGCATTGGAACGATGCACTAACAGCAAGGAGGAGAAGGAAGTTGTACAGAAGGTTTGCCACACACACGCGAGTCATCGGCACGGCACACGCGGGGCGTACCCGGCGCCCTCGGGCATCCCCCCGCTGGTTCCCCACACACAGCTGGTACCCCTAGAGCAATTTTTTATAAATAAAATATAACTAACATTGTTGGAATATAAAATTGACAGTCAAAGGTATCAACAGGCAGAGGGAGGGGACCGTAAGGCTTCTAGAACTAATAGGAAATGCAGCAAACAGTGGCGATACCTGAAGAAGGGGCTGCTACAGCAAGCATGGCAGCTGCTGGGAGGGTGGTGGTGACCCTTTGGCTGATTCCTGCTCTGGGCTCGTGCCCCCGACACTGTAAACGGTTTTTGGTATTAGGATTTCGCCTCATCTGACTGAGTGATCTGAGCAAACCCCAGAAAATGACTCGGAGGGAATGCGCGGGCTCCTCTCACTGGATTTTTAAAAGACTTTAAAGGGACAGCATCAGGTAGAAAGTCTGGCCTAAGGGTGCAGTAATATAAAAAGCTGCTTTTCATAAAAAATCTGAGCTCTGCAGCAGAGTTTGATTCCCATGGAAACAGAAAAGCAACCCCAAAGCCCGAGGCTGTGTTGTGCTGATGTGCAGAACAGGACGTGGGCTGTCACCGAGGGCTGCCCAGACAACGGCCGAGGGAGGAGGACAAGAAACTTCCCATTCTCTCCTTTGCAAGCAAACAAATTACTCATAACAAGGATAAATTAGGTCTTTACCCTGGCAGTGCCCCTTTAGCAAGGATGGAATATACATTCATCTTGCCCTCACCACATCCAAACGGATCCTCTTCCATACACGTGGAAAGGCATCGGGTCACATGCATTGCTCTCCAAAACAGCTCGGGACAAACAGGTTATAAACACAGAGTTAAACTATTGCTATTGTTCTGTGAGTGTTGATCTCTGCTTCAGAGGGATGAGTGCCAGATGGGGGCGGCTGAGGATTGAGCGATGGAGACGGGGATGGACTGAGGTGGTGAAGAAAAACTTCCTGGCATTATTTCCTGGTAACTACACCCACCTCCCAGGGAATTATTGCAGCAATAAAGGTCCTGCTCTACAATTGCTTCTCCGTGTTGGATCCGTACAATGGCAACGGATGGGGGGCCAGGGGAAGGACCCGGGCAAGGTTCAAGAAGCTCAACAAAGGATGAGGACGGAGGTGCTGTGATTGTCAGGCTAATTGTTAGGAGCTGTTTAAAACATGAAGTGATGGAGAGGGTGAGTATCATATTGCACTTCTGCATTCATTGACAGTTACATTAAACTTGGTCCATAAAATAATTGCTTTGTACATAATGCCTGAAACAAAAAGCTACATTTTTAAAATATTAATAAACCCTGAAGGTTCCAGTCCCTCCTTTTCCTCTACATAAATAAATAACTTTCAATTTTATATATCCACTTTTTATGTTGAACATTTACATTCGCCTGTTTTACACTATCTACACATAAGAAATGTGAACATCTTGTCAACTGGAAAATGTACAGGTCATGCCTTGGTTCTGGACTCAGAGGAAAGGTGAATTTTGCAAAGGCCATATCCAAATTTGCAGGAATTATTTAGTGATGTGGTTTGGTGACTTCACAGAATGGATCGTGGCTTGGCTTCCTACTCAGATGGCATCTGTTTGACAGAACATTTGGCTAGCAAAAAGCTGGGACAAATTCACATTGTTTTCAAACCCAGTAAAAGCTCTGGGTGTACATTCAGAGAGAGCCAAGCTGAGTCAGCAGAAAGGGAAGTCCGTTTCTGGTAACAAAAAGTCATCAGGTACATTCTGTACTTGGACAATTACCAAAGAGAAGTGGTTCAACGTTTTGCAGTTGGGTCTGAGCGCTCCAGGGGCTCTGATGCCGGCGGCAGCTCCGCACTGTCCCTGCTCTGCCTCAGCCTGGACCCTCCACACCAGGAACACATGAGCTGGATGAGTTGGATTTGCCTACCGTGGCCCAGAGGCAGCGAGCAGAGCAGCGTTCACAGTGCTGTGTATCTCAGTGCGGCCGTCCTGCACCGTTCTTATTGAAACCGGTAAGAAAATGAAGCAGCCAGTCTAAAAAATTCTCTGTTATAAATAAGATTCCTCGTAAGTAGAAAGTGATACAAAGACAGGAGAGTGTGGTGGGGAAAGCGGGGTTACACACAGTCAGGGAGCTCGGTAGGACTAGAAAATCTCCACGTGAAGAGGCCAGCTGGAGTCTGTGAGTGGGCACCTGGAAGCCCCTGTGTGGATGCCCCCCGCCCCGGGAGGTGTGTGCAAGGAGGTAACACCTTTGCTGGCCCCGGGAGGGACAGGACTGAGGGGCTTTCTGGCAAGCCCTGGCTCCAGGCACTGTTCTCTGTCCTTGTCTGGGTGTCACCGGGGTGCCAGCCCTCTGCCACGCGCCCGCCCGCTCCAGCAGCGCAAACCCAGTGCCTCAGGCACATCCACTGAGAAACACACCAGAAAAATTAAGATATGGCCTTTTCTTAAGGTTGCCTGACATTGTTGGCACGCTTCCTTACAGTCTCCTTACTGCTGGAAAAACTTCTGCACAGATTGCTTTTTTTTTAATATATACATATATATATGTGTGTGTATGTATATATGTATAGATATCCACACACACCCTGGCTTAGCAATATTTCTTTGTCATGCACTACAAACACTGGTGTAGCTACATGAGATGGTAACAGGTTTCCATTCTAAAAATCATCAGTGCAAAAAACAATGAGGTTTTACAGTTCAGTAACTATAGGTAAAAGAAGCGAGTCTAGTTCCCATGAAAGCTGCTACTGAACTTGGAGAGAACCTGGGAAGAAAAAAGGTCTCAGAGGTGGACGTTGAGAGAGTCAGACCCTGCATTTGGATGAGAAGAACTGCAATGTAATCCAGCTGCTGAGTGCCTTCAGCTGCTTCCAAATATATGGTGGTTACTTGTTGGAAATAATACATAGCGAGACTATTTGGAGACTTTAACAGCAATTAAGTGTCTGAGGTTTGTAACAGCTCAAACAAAATAGCTTGTATTCCTCTTTTAATAGGTCAACACATTAAATTCCATCGGCTTCTAAAAGATCTGTGTAAAAAATAACAGTAATAACAATAACGACCCCGCTGTCCTGGGCACGAACCTGCCGACATTCTGCCTCTGCCAACGGCCTCGATGCAGCTTCAGCTTTGCACTGCACCAGCTCCTCCAGAAAGTGGCTGCACGTGGAGCTCTCTGTCCAGGAAAAGCTCTCGGTTGCTCTGCCTGGCACAGCCCACAACAAATCCCTGGCTGGGGCCGGGGGAGCGGCGGATACCCCACCCCAGAGCCCCCATCTGACTCCCGGGACAGCCCAGAACACGCTCCCCCGGCCTCGCGCCCTGTTCCTGCGGCTCTGTGTGGCAGCGGTGGCTAACAAGGCGAGGAGGCACCTATTTACAGTCACTGACCCTGGATGAGAGAGGGAGGCAGGAGAGAGCGCCCTCCTGACCTGGAGACTTCCCCCCGCTTTCCAGCTGTTCCTCGGGCTCGCGCTGCACAAACCTGACGCTTCCGCTGCAAGGCCTGCACGCTCTGCGTGGGAAACATCCCCTCTCTTCCCAGAACGCCGTGTTTATTAGAGTAGCACCATATTTACCCTTCCAGCCCGAAACACTGGCCTCGTCCCTCTTTCCTTTTCTCCTCTGGTGGCTGCAGGTGACAATCCTGGCTCTGGCCTGGCTATTTCTGCCCCAAGAGGCCAGACTCCAGCCGGGACGCGGCGCTGCGGCCCCAGCAGCCCGTGGCGATGCTCATGCTCCTCTGGCTGCGCTCCCTGTCCCTGTCCTTGTCGCTGTCCGACTGGCTCTGGGTGCGCTCGGGCCGGTGGCCGGCGGCCGCGGGCTGGGAGGAGATGGTGCGCAGCAGGTGGTTCCTCTTGCGCAGGAACTCGGCCTGGCTGGGCAGCCCGAAGCTGCCCTTGCGCAGCGCCATGCGCGTGGTGTTCTTGGCGGGGCGCGCGCGGTGGTTGTACTCCAGCTGGGCCAGGTGGGCTGCGTAGCCCTCCGTGATGAACTGCGGGGTGAGGGCAGGCGTTAGAGGGGTGGCACACGTTTCCCTGAGAGCCACTGGCGGCCAGAGATGTTCGCCCTGCCGGGTTCTCTGGGGTGACCGGCCATGGAACCGCTCAGACCCATTACGTGGCCCTGCTGCCTGGACAGTTCCCGCCCTGTTGGCCAACGCTAGCTCAGTCACCAGACTCGTGATGACCAAATTCCCACCTCCCTCCCATGGGAGGCCCTTGGCAGCACCTCCAGGGCTCAGCCAAGTTGGCTCCTACCTGACACTGGCTCTGCAGCTTCTTGGTGGGTCGGCCAACGATGTAGATGTGGGTGGGCGGGAGGCTGATGGAGCTGTACACGGAGATGTCCTTGGTGGATCCATACGCTGCGTGGATCCTCATGTGCAGCTGGGGGACAGAAAGCAGCACGGGGTCAGAACACACTGGCACCCCATGCTGCTCAGCAGGCCGGGCTTTGGGTTTTCCAATAGCATTTGTGGGAATCTCAGGTCACTGGAAGTAATGCAAGTCCCCAGCTGGGTAATGAACCACCCAGGGAAGAGCTAATTAACAGAGCTGGGGATGTTTACAGGCCGTGACAAGAGGAGTGACAGTGATACAAGAGCAGATCTCCACTTGCTGATCCATGGCCTTCCCTTGAGGTCTGCAGGGGGCAAGGATGCTGCACACTTCCCCGCTGTCACTGGGGGAGAGGAGCTGCAAGCCTGTGCAGGAATCGTTAGCCAGGAATGCTCCCCTCCACAGCCAAGCTGCTGTTACCTGCTGGGCAGGGGAAGAAGGGAGA